TAAAAACCCATTAACTAATTTTATTTTGAAAGTAAAAACTCTTTGCTGACGTTGAGGGTAGAATTTTAAGGTCAAAAAAGATAGTGACGGACGTTAAGGCTGATTTTCACTGATGTCAAGTTCAATGGCATTTGTCGTTAAATACGTAAAATCACATTGTCAAATGGAACTAAAAAACGGTTTATTGATTGATTTAGATCAGAGTAGGTCCTCAGTCGTGTACATGCGCTGCTAAACTGGCTATCTGTCCGTTTTTGGCTCATACTCAATAAATGTAATCGGTATGCATCAACAATCAACATAAAAATCTATAAAAGCACTCTGCGTTGCATGCACATTGGCTTTCATTTACATAAAACATCTAACAATGTTTTGAAGAATTTCTACAAATACACATAACATAGTGAATTTGAAAAAACGATTAGTAATTATTCCAAGTCCTTCCAAAAGAGGTTATTTATATTTTACTAGAAAATAAAATTTAATGTTTTTAATAATGCAAACGAGGAAAAGTATTAAGCATTTTAGTGCATTAAAATTTTTTTCATTAGCATTAGCTTGGACAATTTAATGAAAAAAAAATAATTCATTAGCATTACATTTTTCCGAATTAATGCATTGAAATATTCATTTGCATTAAATTTCATAAATGAATGCATTAATTTTTTACATTAACATTATTGCTTTAAATACCATTAATGCATTTTTCACAACTCTGATACATACATATGTATACATATATGTTTTTCACCAACTTATATGAGTATGCATGTAATATATTTCTACATTTTATTAAACACATAATTAACAAATAAGCAAAACCTTTACGATTATTTTACCTCGTTTTACAGCAAAAAAAAAAGGAAATTTCTGCATTTATTGGCGAAAGCGAAGGAAATTATAAAGTAATATTCACTTTGCTAGTAATTTACATACATACATATGTACATATGTAAGTGCATACATACATACATATGTATGTATATTTGCATAAGTATGTTAGCATGTGTACTTACATAAAATGCGAGGTAAAAAGAGTAATTACTTTTAATTATGCACCTAACGCACTGTGCTTACATTATAACTGCGGTGATTTCATTTTTAAACTTTGTATGACAGTTGGACGACACATATGCGACGACACATTACTTTATAACACCCATTATGTTAGGTTAAAAAAAAAAAAAACGAGAAAATCGCGCACTAATTTGTCATAATTACTCGGTACTTACCGATTTTTTAAGTAGACTTTCTGCTTAGTGTTTGAAAAAAAATTTCATTTATTGTTTAGAATTTTTTATTTTATGCTACGTATTTAGGGTATATTTAATTTTAGCTCATTTAATTTTACATTATTTTATATTTTTTTTTTTACTGTGATTTAATTAAGTTTAATTGTGTTTCCATTTGCAGTATTTATTTCACTTTTTTTCTAAGTTTTGTAAGTTTTTGTTGGTATTTAAGTGACGTTTTAAAATAATTCAAGCGACACCAACATTCACTCAAGGTTACCGCCGCGTTCTATATAAATAAATTATTGATAAATGATAGAATTTACATACTCGATTTAATGGGCGTATCAAATGGCCATGCTGTTGTTTTTTATTTATTTTTATTACTTTGAATACAAATAAGCAACTTTTTTTTTGAAATTTCGGGTGCTCTTCTACATTAGAATCTAGCCTATTTAATCAATAATTGCCTTTTTCGAGCTTATTTTGAAACACTAATAGCCAGTTTCACGAAGGTAATTTAAGTTAAAAATATTTTTTGTTTTATTTGAATTTAATATGAAAACTGACAGAAGGGGGAAATGAAATTTCACTTGAATTGCTGCCGAAACCGGTAGTCAGTTGGGGAAAGTGATTTTGACTTATCGATAAAGGTACTAAAATGAAATGACTGAAAAATAACAATCTATTTCTTTCGATTTTCAATAATTTTTCGCAGGTTTCGCCCTTTTCGAGTAGAAAATCTTTATTTTATGTCCAGAACTTGTTTTTTATTACTTAAGTTTAATAAGTTTTTTTTTTTTTTATTGTTTATGCGCGGCCGCTTTGGGTGAGTGGTGCGTACTACCACTCCGTAGTTTTTTCTAACAGCGGTCGACCTTCGAATGTATTTCTGCCATGAAAAAGGTTCTCATAAAATCAATTTCCCGTCCGGGTCGGCATAAAACTGAAAGTCCCCTCATTTCTGTAAGAAGATAAAGATGCATACTACCAAATGGAGGAGAAGCTCGGCCAAACACTTAGGAAAAGTGTAAGCGCCAAAATATTATTATTCATTTTTTATAAAAATAAAGTTCATTCTTTCTTTAACAAATTTCAATGAAACTTTGTTGATATTTTTTATAAAAAAATTAATAATTTAAATTAAATATTAAAAACTTGCCAATATGTGGCTGTCGTATAGTTATGATAAGCACTATACATGTGGGAGCACAGAGTTGACTTACTTAAACAGACTTACTAACAGACTTAACTTACTTAAAGATGCAGCTTTAGGATAGAATACGACCCTGGGTCCAATGCGACCCTGGATTCAATGACGCTAATTTACATAAAAATGCAACTCTACAACTAAAAATAACGGAGTTACAGTTACCTTTTGGAAGTAAGCGAGCATACAGCTTAATTAAAATACCGTTAAATATGAGTTTTAAAACTAAGTAACTTTTGTGCCACTAAGTACTTTAATTAATACATTTTAAATATTTAGTCAATAAATACTTTCGTTTGTACCGCTAAGTACTAGTGTTATTCGGCATTCTACATACATACATACATACATACATATGTATGTAAACATATATAAAAAATAAAAATAAAAAAAAACGACAAAATATGAGATAGTAGTTCCTTATCAATGCCACGCGCTTGTCAAATACATGCTTACCTAAATTTTCTTGTCCAATCCTAAAAGCAGGCAACAAATTTGTATACTGGTAAATTTCTTGTGGAATTCTACGACTATAGAGATCGGCGGTTTGGCGTAAAAAATTGCGCTTGTTTATCGGTCTGTTAGCCCACATGCCTCTCGACACTGACGTCAAAAGCCGCTGATAGACGTCATAGCGGCCAACCAAGCCTCCAGATGAGAATAAATTAGACTGTCACTTTGAATTTTACCAGCCCCAATGTTTGAACACCTTCATTAGCATCTACATACATATTTCGGTTGTTTTTTATTGTTTTTTTTTTCGCTTGTTTGCTGTTAGCAAGGCAGATTGCCAGAAATACATATGTGTATACTTAGTACATTTCTGAAGATAATAATTTTTTTTTTACAGTAATGTATGGGTGTGTGTAAACTTGCATGTTTATATTTTTTATTGAATGAAATTCGCATTAAAAAAATCAAGAAAACCCCACCCAACAAATTGAAATTGAATTAGGGAGCTCACAAGGTGTTGTATACTGTCGTAAACTTTAAAAGCTTAAAAAAATGTTTAAAGGACTTCAAATTACAACCAAGTATTTTTTAACACTGTGAAAATTCATAATATAGTAACTTTCATGGTACCTAGCGATTGCCCTTCATATACATACATATTTTTAGCCGTTTAACAACACCTTTTGAACTCCCTAAATAACATAAATAAAGAGGTAAGTTAGCAGAAATCTATATAAAAACTTACCGATGTGCGCCTTTATGTACGCAATTAACTATTCAAATGAGCTCCAATTAAATAAATAATAGGCTAGAACTAAAAATACGCCAAAGTCACTAGCAGAGAGGTGATCGAGTACTATGTATGTATGTATGTATGTACATATGTATTAGGGAGATTGACTCGGTTTTTACAAACCGGTTTCCACCGGTTTTTTTTTGCATATCTATAGGCGTTTTTTTTGAAATCTTAATTTTTCAAATATCGTATAAACCGGATTTCTTTTAATATAACCAACCGGTTTTTTCGTTTTATACAAATCTTGATCTCTAAATAAATGTTTTGAGTTTTTCGAAGGGTTTGGGGATGAACAGTGTATCATATTTGGATCCAATAAATGAATGTTTGGCACTTAAACGTTTTCTAATTGTTTGGTGGAGCTTCTCCTCCAATTCTTGTTCTGCTCCGAAGAAGATTTTTTATGGCAGAAGGATACTCAGAGGTTTGCATAGTCTGCCAAGGGGCGAACGCTATTTGAAAAAACTGTTTTTGATTTTGTAGAAATTGAACCATGCACCTCCCGAGTGGCAGTAGGCAAATCTAAGCACTCGGTTACGGCGACAATTCCATTCCAATTCCAATTCAATTCCGAAAAAAATGCAATGAATTATTAAAAAAAGTTAAAATAATGATTTTTTATTTGTATTAGTTTTGATCTAAAAAAACTTTTGAACTTATTTTGCTTTGCTCTTTTCGAAATAAAATCAAACTGTTAACAGTTTTATTGAAAGTTTTGGTCATTACTTCATACCAACAAAAGAATTTTCATTGTAGAAACCTATCTAAAATAAAACCGGGTTATCGGGCTTATGGAATTTTTCGAATAACTCGGAAACCGGTTTTGGAAAAAAACCGAATAATTGCAAACCGTAGTATGTATGTATGCATATACAAAAAAAAGTGTAACTACACTTCATACATTCACACAAACTTAAATGCAAAACAGCTATTATCGTTTTTATTGCAGTCAATTATCAGTTCAAAGGTTCAATTCAATGGACAATTCAAATGATAATGCCAACTAATAATAGCCTATAATACAAAAATTATAATAAAATAAAATAATATAACACTGTTGCACACTTACAAAAGCTATTGTGAACCACACTATAAATCATTATGGGCAATGGTAGTTGTAGACACTTTCTACAATCTTAAAGCTTCTACTTTTATGGCCTCAGCTGTATAACAGATATTTCTTTTGTTACAATTACATACCTACAAATACTCATACATTTACCTTTGTTTATTGTTACATATTTATTTCTACTTATTTTTTTTTTAATTTTATTATACATTTCCACTTTCTTCTCCTCCTTTCTTCCAGCGTCAGTACATTTGCTGCAACTCCCAACGATTCTACTTCCATGGCACCATTGCAAAGTCACGCTGAAACGCAAAGTGTCACAACGTTAAATTTGCACGAGAAAGACAGCACCACCTCGCCGCTGACGTCGATCGGCAGCAATAGCAGCAATTCGAACAGTGCACAGAAGCAAAAGCAGCTGCAGCGTCATCAGCGTAACAACTCCAATCAAAGTGATTACTACACCGCAGCCTATTCGGCGACAATATCGGACAGCAACGGCCGTGGCGAAGGGAGGTGAGTACACCCCATATCCACCCCAAGATTATTGAGATTAAAAATATGTACATATATATATATGTGATTTGTTGTTTGCTTGAATGATAGAGTGGGCGTGGCGAAAATAATTTAAATCCAAGTGCTTAGTATAAAAATTGTGCCGGTAAAATAAATCGTTAGAGGAGTGCAGTGAAGAAAAACATAAACAAGTAATTTTTAGCAAATAAAAACCGACTTAAAAAAAATATATATGTATATATCATAATCCAATGATCGGATCTAGATTAGTATGGGACCTCCTCTCAATACGAAAAGAAAACGGCTTAGTTCACTTTGGCGATAGTACACTACAGTAGTTTTGTAGTTACAGACGAAACAACAAACGAAATGAATCGTGCGGAGAAAAATATATGTATGTATGTACACTAGACTGCATCACCAAAAAAAGTTGCGGGTTTTCCGCCGGGATTATAAAATTTATTACATTTTAAGACGTCCACCAAAATATTTCGGAAAAATATTAAGATTTAAGTGAGCTGGACCGATTTGAAAATACCTCTTAAAACGGAGTTTTTTATGAATAAAAATAGTTTCTGAGCTCGTAGAGGGTTTAACGATCCTAGCTACAAACACAGCTAGATTTCCAATGAAATTGCACTGAAATTATGTTTTTTGAGTTCCTCTGGTAGCGTAGACTCGAGTGTCCCTAAAACTGTACTTACTCAGTCTCGACAGATGGTCGAATAACACATGGTTAGTTTTGTTGCTCCCAAGTTCTTTTGAAGACTACTAGAAACCTTTAGCACTTGTCTCTTAATTACGTTGCCGTATCAAGAACACTAGAAAAATACATCGAGATGCAGGAAAGTCCTTAACGAACTACATAGCTTCAAAGTCTACTACCTACATTGTGTGGGTGGCAGACCACTGAGACATTCAAGGACGAGCTTGCGAGAAAGGCAACCAACCCGTTTGACGTCAACTCTTCTCATGCGGCGGGCATACTGCTATCTACCTGTAAGACAGGGCTCAACACATTTCGTCGAGAAGGCAAATAAAATATGATCGGAAGAACCCACGTGTGGGACTACTTGACAAATCTGGTCCAGCCTCGACGAGAAAAGATCCGACAATGACTTCTGCCGAAGTTGCTGCTACGGCGACGAAATTGAGAGTGTGGAACACTATCTCTGTCACTGCCCTGCCTTTTGTGGGCCTCTTTGTCTATCTGGCCGACCTAAGTGATCCCCCACTGAATCCGAGTGTGCCTCTCTCCTACGTTGTATGAAGGCAGCCGCTTCAACCTAAGTCTGTTCAGTTTACACCACTAGCTTCTGTTTTTATCCAAATGAAACATCTTCCGAACTTTTGCGAAGGCGAACCGTTATAGGCGAAGCTTTTTGGCCTCGGCCCAAATCGACAGACGGTTGTAGTGCTAAAAAAGGTAAAAAAGTCAGCCGACTCCTTCAGTTCCTCCTCGGGGTCTCTACGATGGGACTTAACCATCAAATTCGCGTTGGGGTCTGACGTATCTTGATGATTTTAATCCAATTATAAAGCTTCGGCTCGGTTTCTAAGTATTACAACTTCTTAATTGGCTGATGTGTAAAGGCTAAAGTTTGCAATCGGTAGAAAAAAAACTTATTTCCATTATTATAAATTTCAGAATGTGTAATTAAATGCCGCCCGTAAAAAGCGCCCAGAGATCTCCTTTAATAAAAAATAAAACAATAAACTCGAAGACACCCGCAAGTGTACCAACGATTTTTTCTGTTTACAAAGTTTATCATGAAGAAAAAGACGCAAAAAAGAGACAAACCGTAATATATTTTTTTTTTTAATTTGCAGCTTTTAATCCCGTACCATGTGACCAAGTCAATGCGAACAAGATATCCTCAAACCGTCAAAATAAAAAAATAAAAACAAATGAATAATTAAACACTCTAATAAAACTACTTTCTCATTCAAATTCTTTGATACCATTTTAAGATAACTTATCTAAATAGTATACTGCATACATAGTATGTAAATATATATGCACAATGCAAATATTTAGTAGCGCACTGAGCTTTAGCTGGCATTGTAGTCAACTTTTTATCTTTTAAGGTATTTGTAGCTTTATCAGCATCTTAAATACTCATTTAAGAAAAGAGAGAGCCGCCTACTTGATGTGCATCTTTTAGCCTCAACAATGATGCCGAGACATCGTAGTTATTTACAAGTTTAACAACTTATGAATTCTTCTACTATACATACAAGCCGGCATCTTTGCGGAGCGTAGACCGTGCGCGATTAACTTGTCATAGCAAGTGCCTGAAGAGGAAACATGTAGTAATAATGTAATTAAAATCATTCTTCGCCAAGTGGACATTTGAAGCATTTATGTCGCATTTAGTGTTGATTAATTAAAGCTTAAAAATTACCTACAACTTTTGACAGGCAGTATGCAGATGCCGATGCTGGAGAGTTTAATGCATTTATTTTGATCTAAATTGCTAAACTTTTAAATTTCACTCCTCCGTGCATTAAAAGGCAATTTTTTGTGCGATTGATGAACTGGCTGGGCTATCTATAGTATATGTGAAGTTGGTATTTTTTTCTTTATTGAGATCGATAGGTATTCAGCATTCTACGTTGGCGATTGCTCATTCATGGTGGCCGAAAATGCCATTGATTTCCTTTGTTCAAAAAGCAATAGGACGAAACATACTTTTACAAAAAATTTGAATAAAAATTGTTGCATATATTGTAAAAAAAACCACACACGACATTAAGTATCTTTTCCCTTGCCAAAACAAAGGTCATTGGACAATACGAAAGTACATAAAATGCACACCGTCTCCAAAAGAGTCACAACTCAAAATTTGGTATTTTTGAAATTATACGCTAAAAATGTACACAGAGCTTTTATTTACCTTTCAGCTAAAACTGGAGCAAATTTTTATTATAATTTGTTTAAAAAAACCTAAGGTGAAGTCGCCCTTGCCCATATGAATATCATGTGTTAGGAAATAGTTTTTCGCATTTTCTGACAAACGTATTCTTTTGAGTTGTGACTCTTTTGAAGACGGTGTGCGATATGTACATACATACATACGTCCATCAATTTTTCAATGTGAAAACGTTATTTTTTTAATTATTATTATTTTTTTGATTGTGTGTAATTAGACACGTGAGTTCTAAACTAGATACGTACGTACAGTAGAATCTCGAAAAAGTTAACCGAAATGTCGCGAGGGTATTTAATTTTTTCGAACTACATATTAACTTTTCCAAGCGGTTTTCAAAATGAAAAAAAAAAAAATAAAATATATAATAATAACATAGTTTTTAGGAAGTAATACGCTAAATTTATGACACTGACAAAGTCTTCATCTTTACGAAAAATAAACTTGGATTTAATGTTTACCAGCATTTTCTAGTTTATAGAGAGTTGTCTCGTTTGCTTCTTCATATGTGCTCGCTACTGCCTTCAAAATATGATGACGTTAGATACACCATAATTCAACGCCAATCGATTTCCCTAAATACTTCGATCAATTATTTTATTTTTTTTCAATCTCAGCTCTTTGATGTAGATTTAATCTGATTTGCGATGACTTTTTCCTCTTTGTTGACATTCTTAAACACACAAACGATACACAACTAACAAATCCAAACGCCAAACAAATCGTGGGTTTAAAAAATTTATAAGCTCGCAAAAGTTAACACAAAATTTAACTTTTTACGTGCACGCTGAAATTCAGTTAACTTAGCCGAGCGATTAACTTTTGTGCGAGTTAATTTTTCCGTGATTCTACTGTATGTATTTGACACACATACATACTCACTTATCCACTTACATAGCTTATCATATTTGTAGCTAAAAATTCCCTCGAAACCCTTCAATTGAAGGAATGTCGAAAATTGTGTATTTATGCTTCCAATTTATCGTCAAAAATAAGTCTTTATTTGCACACCTGGTTGTTTTATAGATAAAGCACTTATCTATTGAATTGGTAGTTTTTTTTTTATGTGTGAACTCTAAAGGGAATCACGGAACTTGTTACATATTTATACGCACAGGTGTTCACCAAAGCGATAACAGTTTTGCTGATTAACATATGTACATATGTACATACATAATTGTTTGACGGCTGAGGGTTTGTGCGAGAACTGCATATGTATGTATGATCCATGAGAAGCATTGGTGCTCTCAGCTTATTCCTACATAGTTTTGCCAAGATATTGTGTCACCCTATGTTTATAATAAACAATTACTTTGTATACCCCTATCAAATAAATACAGCTATCAAACGCTTATTATCAGCTATAATTGACGGGTTAATTTTTTCCGCTTATGTAGTACATCCACAACGTTCGTACTTAAGGCTACCACTTACATACGTCCCTTATGATCGATTCAAAATTTGATTGCTTCAATTTGATACATAGTTTGACGTCAACGTGACATATCTTCTCATATATAAAGCGGATTGTCACTAGTGATATTTCCAAAACACTCGTGATTCAAGGCAAAGTTAATTAGGAAAAATAATGAAAAATCATATGACGGCTCGAGCGAATTTCAACGAAATTGCTTGACAATTAATGTCAAACGATCTGCACAAAAGTACACCAATGTCGATCGGTTAGACTCTTAAAAGTGGTCTCTTAGCTTGTTCTTTACGGATGGACAGGCTCCGAGGTGTCAATGTGTCTACTCTGAGGGATGAAGATTATTGGAAATACTTCTTGCCGCTGCCTATGTATATCAGCTATCTCTCAATCGTTGTAGTCAACTTCAACACAAATGACAGACCCTGGAAACGTGCTGTTTGGATAAGTTGAAAGCTAAGGAAATTTGGTGTTAGTTGGGCGAGGTTTAGGGAGGAAAAGAAGACGTTACGAAGAAGATCGTAACTTCAATCATCGCTTGAGCCATAAACCAATATTGATAGCGAGATGAGACCTTTCAGTTTTCAAAAATATAAAAGTGAAATAAATGAGATTTTTTCTTTTTAAAAACTTCACTTTTC